TGAATTTATATTAGTGAATACTTCAATTTAAAAATATATTGATTACCAAGTTAAATTTATAAATTTTAAACATACTTCTCTAAAMGTCAATTTTCCATCTTTATCTTTGTCCGCATCATCGATCAGTTGACTTAAAGAGTTTTCAGTCCACGGTACTCGACGTTTGATCATCATACGTTTCAATTCATTCCGACACAGGTATCCATCTTTATTGGCATCATATCTATGAGCAAACATAAATACTTTTGTTTAAAATTACTTTAACAACACAAACAATGATAGGTAATATAATATCTGTGGATGGTAAACGAAATAAYCTGGCCACACGCGTTTAAATCACATATTTAGGTCATATTTATATGTTTAATACTTATAATATTATATGTCTATTCTTGTTTCATRTTTACTTATTGTGCTATTAAGTTCAGATTGTAAATTTCATATTAAAATAAAAAAATATATATAGGATATATCATACAATATGATAACGTACTGGTTAAAAATGTCTTCGACCTTTCGAATTTGCGCCGGGCTGAACTCTGAGAATTCCAAATACACCTGTCGCTTGGTCGTGTTCGATGCGTATTCATTAGCGTTCAGCTCACCGCCCTCACCGTTCGAATCAGATGAATCTTCCTGCATCATGGTCGGTACCTATGTACGATAGTCGGTGAAACGGAAGGAAGTTGTCGAAAACACGAAAGCGCAACGGATCGTGAGAGATCGACAAGAAACTGCAGAACTCCGGGGAACGAAAGCTGTTATATTGGACTTCCTGCTAATACCTATACTCCGTAAGTCCGTCAGTTATATTCTGACGCGCAATACCTATTTCTTTACCAAATAATATTTGACAAATATTGTGTTGCTCTGTACGTACGCAACTCATTTACATATAATACGACTTTTATGCGAAACTGTAATGTAAACTTATCGGAGGAAAGACGCTTTACTGCGATGGCGTATCACGCGCCTACCGTAAATAGTTCTCCCGTCGCTATATAATAGGGATGTTTGGAAAATGAGTCAGTCTCACACTCTGCGTTTAGTCGTGTCACTATAATAATACTAATTATTATTATAAAAATATAATATAAAAAGCACTCTCGGTACGCGCAACTGTTATTATTATGGATATATATATATATATATATATATATTGTGTACCTGCCTTCAATAACGCATTTTTATACATTGTAATATTGTCGTTTCGCATATATTTTGTATGCTCGTGTTTGTTGTTGTGTTTTCACA